TTTTTTTTTTTTTTTTTTTTTTTTGAAATTAAGCTTGTTTTGTCAATTTCTCTAGGATGGCTTTCGTCCTTAAATAAACATTTGAATTCTTAGTCATATTCCATAAATAAAATATACTTTTTAAAAACTACTTTTTTTAGCTTTCAAAACTTAGCTTGGTTTTTAAAAACATTGGTAGAAAATAGATAACAAAATGAAGAAACTTATTGGTAGAAGTTGTATTTTATGAACTTAATTTAACAAAACAAAAAATTAAATGGATATCAAATGGTGGGTTAGTTTTTTGTTTTTGAAAATTAAGCTTATCAATACTAATTTCATTTCACTATGAGTTTATGTTTTTTTAAGAGATGAAACATAAAACTAACGAAATCATTATCAGATGTGATTTCTTTTCCTGTCTCTTTACTTCATTTCATTGTTTCCCAGGGCACAGATGTTGTCCCAAGCAATATGCGGTCACACACATGTTTACTATCGGGTATTTTCATTGGCAACGTGAAAGTACTCGCACGTCTGTCATTTGGTCTCGATGCTTCTAGGGAGGTTGCAATGAAGCTGATAGTTAGATCTGACGACGAGGCAGTCAGTGATCTCATTCACGAGATTATCTCCAGCGGCTAAGTCGTAGTCAGTCCTTTGCCAGAAAATTTTTCCAAGTCTTGCTGTGGATCAGAGGTTGGCAGCTTAAGAAAGATCAAACCATGAAACCACTTCATTTTTGGGCGCTAGCCTTCCAGGTTTACTTTTCATTTAGCTATTGTGTAGCTCCATTATATTTTTATCTAAAGCACCATATCGTTGTCTTGAGAAGGTTCAACTCCTGCTATATTAATTATGACCCAATCTCTACTTTATCATCGTATTTTTTCCCCCATCTTTTTAGGTAATATGTTACCTGAAAGGGGCAGATTTCATTCGTTGAGGGAAGCAATAAGTTTGCTCCACAAATATATGTAAGAAAGAACCGAAATTTATCTTCACATTCAACATTTTTCCTTACCTTTGAGAAAAGTGCATTTAAATTCTCAATAAATTTCATTCTGAACTTGTAGATTCATCTAGTCATAGTTTTTCTTTGCGTTTGGATTAATATACGAAGTGGGTTCTATTTCAAGAACTATAGGGTCAGAAGTTGAATTTGCAGATTAACAAAATTACTCTATGGTCATGTCATGTTATGTCTGGAGTACTATATTTTCTTCATGGCTTATTATAATTTTTAACTGCAATATTTTCCAGGAAAATAAAAATCCAAGAACTGGATCGAAATGTTGGCTTCGATCATTTGTGAAATAATTTATTGGTCTTGTTGGAGTAAGGTGCACATTGTCATAAGTTATAATTGAGAGTATTTGCATATGGGTGGTAATGGTTGATCGGTTAATTGAATGAGGATAGATGTGATACTTGAGTAAATAAGAAGCATGAGGATATGATGACTAGAGAGGCTTAAAAGAATCTAAAGTTGTTTCTCATGTCAACAAAATGCACCATACTTGTAACTCAATCATAGGAATTTGAAAGTTTTGTTCATAGCAATCTTGTGTTTGGTGATCTTTGATAAACTTTTCCAAGAAACATGTGAATGAGGACAAATCATGTTGCAAGGACTTGTATTGGTCGTGGGGAGATAATATCAATCTTAGAAGCGAGGAGTAAATAATGTGATCATATTGCTAGGGATGTAGGGGAATGTCAGGGTCAAAAGGTGTTGAATATGGATTTCAAATCTTAGATAATATCAGGGTCAAAAGGTGTTGAATATAGATTTCAAATATTAGACATATGTCGTTACAGAAGACAGGTAGAGTGCACGAAGAAGGGTCAATTGGGAGGTGTAGAAATTTTCATGTGGAATTATGAATCTATTTGATTGGGGTCATGGGATTGAAGGAAATGAGTTCCATTCCTTCTCTTATGAGGCAAAGAGATGTTGTATAAGTCGTTGAGATGTGACAATTTGAAGTATAGTTTATTGCTTCGTTCGATAGTCATTTTGATTTTTGAGTTTTGGTCTTTTATCTTGCTATCTACTTTAGAGATGTGACAAAAAGTTGTTTTTATTATGTTTGTTTGATAATGACATCTCTGCGTACTTTCTCCTTAAATGCTAGCTTCCATATGCTGGTTGATAGACATTTGAATCCAAACCTGTATTACTTGGGTGAAATAGAATGAAGCAGATTTAAGAAAAGAAAGTATTAGGATTTGTGTATGTTAATGTTAATGTTAATGTTACTGTTACTGTTTGTGAGAAGTCACAGTTCCATGGATTCTTGCCTAAGAGATTGGCAGTAGCGATTCATAGCATAAAGCAGGAAGTGATTGTATAGTGTTCAGCATTAGAAATGCCTGCCTTGGCCATGCACCACACCAATGCAGTCGGTTTGGGCGATGGCGATGGGGTGGTGACTGGTGCGTTGGAGTCTAAAACCTCATAAGAATCTACTTCATAGTCGTGAAATGATTGAGTTTTTTTGTTTCTTATTTCAAATTTTATACAAACATTTTTAAAAACGGTGTAGAAATTTTAGAAAACAAATTCAACATCTTTAAAAGGTCATTTAACGGTTGAGAATTGTTGGAAGAGGAGTCCCACATCGGTATCTAAGGAGTTGATCATGGATTTATAAGTAAAGAATACATCTCATTGGTATAAAACTTTAGGAAAACCAAAAATAAAGTGAGGACTTATGATCAAAATAGACAATATAGTACGATTGTTTGTCTGTCGGGGTCTGTTATCCTTAACAATAACTTAATGCATTGTGTTATCTACAAGCTACACCATAGTATGAAGATTCTCATCGGACTGTTCTTTGACAGCCCACGTGATCGCTCAGGGTGGTACAATACTGACTTTCTACGTATTTGTTTAATTTTTTTTTTTTTTTTTTAATTTGGCTAGAAATTTAAATGTTTTTCGTTAGGAGATCGAAACTTTAAAAACTAAATACAAATAATTATCAGAAATTGGCAGAAATCCAACCTTTTACCTCGTAAATAACACAATTTTTTCTCTAAATTCTTATAAACTCACTAGACACCAAATATCAATGCACCTCTTCTTAATTTCACTCGTCAATGCATTTTTAAAGTTCCACAAACAACAGTTTAACTGAATGCAACGCCAGAAAAGAGCCAAAGGGCTTTAACAAAAACATCTCATAATCAGTGTACCTTGTTTCAGTACTTTCTGCACCAATCCCTTCCTCTTGAACTCATTTTCGACCCGCTTCAGAAGGTGACCGAATCCTCTGGAACTCGAGCTTGTGGAGGTTAGGCAAGAACAGTGCACAATAAGGAGGGAGGGAAGAGCTTTCTCTGTTTTCTTCTCAAACCAAGACTAGAAGTTGATAGATACTCATTACAGCACAAACAACGAAAAATAGAACTTTGTTACACGACATATCGTCCCACAAACACCGCCAAATTTCGTTTGAAAAATGAAACGAAAACTTAGAGGTTTCCAACCCAATGAAATAAGACTATCAAACACCAGATGTAGTTTACTGTAACAATTGAATCAAGGCGAAAAAAAATCGAAACAAAAGCCACTCTCCATCCATTCAAGCAAATAAATAAAGTAAAATCGAAGAAAAGAGAGATTATCTGTTCAAACTCAAATTCACCCTCCTGAGTGAGAGACCGGAGTGGTTTCGAAGCCCCCGTCCTTAAACGAATGAACGAACTGTTGCGGTAAAGCATGCTCAACCTGTAGAGATAGAACAAGTTCATCCATGTTAAACTCTAATTCCAACCCTTTTTCCAGATTAATGTACTTTAGAAGCAGGAACACGGGACCGTACCCAATCACCGTCCGACCCGGGTACCAAAACATTGATCTCACTCGACTTGGCAGTCGTAATGGAAGTCCCCAAAGAATCTTTGCTTAAATACAATACACAGCCTCCAGTATTGTCCACAGAAATAGTTGGAGCAGAACCCTACAATAACCAGCAAAAAAAGAATGAAATCTTAGCAACTTCATGGCTTTAGAATTAAAAATTTTATCAGTCACTATGACGCCACATTGGTCGGTAGTGTGAGATTCCACATCGATTAAGGATGTGGAGACCTCTCCCTAGCAAACGCGTTTTAAAAATCTTGAGGGGAAGCCCGTAAAGAAAAACCCAAAGATGACAATATCTACTAGCAGTGGGCTTGGCTATTACAAATGGAATCAGAGCCAGACACCAGGCCATGTGCCAGCGAGTAGGCTAAGCCCCGAAGGAGAGTGGACACAAGGCGGTGTGCCAGCAAGAACGCTGGACCCCGAAAGGGGTGGATTTGGGGATCCCGCATCGATTGTAGAAGGGAATGAGTGCCCGCAAGGATGCTGGGCACCTCTCCCTAGCAAACGCGTTTTAAAAACCTTGAGGGGAAGCTCGTAAGGGAAAGCCCAAAGAAGACAATATTTACTAGCGGTGTGTTTGGGTTGTTGGGTTATTTCAATAGTGCATAGAAGCGAGAAAAATGTAACAATTAGCTTCAAAAATGATGTAGAACTATCTACTTTATGAAGAACATTGTACCTGGCATTGCACTTCAACACTGTTGGAGTTAACAATCTCAAATGCAGCCACAACATCCTGTCAAATACAAGTGAAAGAATGAATCTCCTAAGTTCTTGGGGAGGTGTTGTTAAGAAAAGGATCTATTCAGCCAAAGGTAGCATACTAACCGTGAATACGACACCCATTTTCGTGCACTTGTCGACCGTTATATTGTTGACCTTCCCTGCAAGGTAAAAATTTTAATTTCTCCCCGAGCCATCGAGACGCTAACAATTAAACTGATCATGAGTTACAAAGTTACCTTGAATCTGCAAAACTGAATCTTTGCATCCAAAGATATATACAGATTGTTTAGCATCACAATCATCAATGACCAAGTTTTTTCTTCCAACCTGGTTCTCGACGACCCACCTGTACGGATATATAAATAGAAACCGTTAGTACGACACCTATTGTCATCGATATCTTATTTGTAACGACAGAAAGTATACTTACTTTCGACCCATTTGAAGTTCTAACTTTGGAGGACCTGCTTTGGAAAACGAAGGCGATGCGGTACGGCCACCTTTCTCACTGGAACCAACAACACCAACTCTATCTGCACGGTTCTTCGTCTTCATGTCGTCTGTAACTTTCTTAAGACCTAGTGGCAGAGAAAATGCATAGAGATGTTCAACTACTAGTGAAGGGGAGAGCGTTGAAAACGTCAGAGAAACGAGAACGAGACAGAAATACCTGAAGTCACAGGCTTCCCGGAATTAATTTCTTGGAAAACAGCAGCCATCCCTTGTTTTGGCTTGGAAGATGAAGCTTGAGAAGGTTCTGAGCTGAAAAGCGAGGCTGGAGGGGGCGGAGGTGCGGCCGGGGTGCGTGGTGCTGATGTTTTAGGAGGAGGAGGAGCAGCAGCAGCAGCAGCGTTTTTCCCCGTAACACTCCATACTGGTCCCAAAGGATAAAAACTTTTGACATAGTCCCTTAAACCTGGCAAATAGAGCTCTTTCATAGCTTTGGCCCACTCGACGTGATCGGGATCTTTATTTCGGTACTCTACCAGAACCTGAATGAAAAAGAAAACAGATTGGCAATAGCCCATAAATGTGTTTTTCGGTTTATGAACCCATGTAAGATAGATCGAAATAAACTCGAGAACAAAATATCGATGTCAATAAGCACTATTCGACTTGAGGCTAGCACAGAGTGTCCTAAATCAAATCTCTGAAAAGTACCAAATTTTATTGATCAAAATATGTAATTCATTCGTCCAATAAGTAAGAAATGATAGACTCTTCATAAGGCTAATGTGAGATCCCATATTGATTGGAGAGAGGAACAAGCGTCAGTGAGTACGCTAGCCCCAAAAAGGGGTGGATTGTAAGATCTCACATCGGTTGGAGAGAGGAACAAAATATTTTTTATAAGGGTGTGGAAACTTCTCCCTAGTAGGCGCACTTTAAAAACCTTGAGGGAAAACCCATGGAGGACTATATCTGTTAGCAGTGGGTTTGGGTCATTACAAATGGTATCAGAGCCAGACACCGGGCAGTGTTCCAAGAAGGACGCTGAGCCCTAAAGGAGAGTGGACACTGGACGGTATGCGAGCATGGACACTAGGCCCCGAAGGAGGGGTAGAGATTGTGAGATCCCACATCGATTGGAGAGAGGAACGAGTGCTAGTGAGGACGCTATGCTCCGAAGAGGGGTGTGGATTGTGAGATCCCATATCAATTGGAGAGGGAAACGAGTGCCAACGAGGACGCTGGACTTCAAAAGGAGGTGGATTGTTAAGATGTTTTGTGCTAATGTAAAGTAATTGTTGGACCGTATCGTCTCATGCCTTCACTATTCGAGCAAGGGGGACTAAACAAATTTTACAAACAAAATACAAAATTTGAGAAAACGAAGCTTACTTTGTTGTTGTAGAATTCAGCCATTTGCCAACTTTCTTCGACATGGGCGATCGGCATACTCATACCTAAAACGATCACGAACATCAATTAGATGAAATGAATTGGAATGACACATTGTAACATGGATATACATATACTCAACTACAGTTCATACCACAGTCTTTTCCAGTAAATGCAATCCAAGCTAAAGCAGATAGACTATCAGCTGCTGCTTTCAAATGGTTGAAGAAATCAGATCTCCTTCCTTCTGTAAGTGCATTTGCTTTCATAATAACTTCGTTTATTGGCTTCAGAAATTCAGCTAAGCCTGCCAAGTCAGGTTTCTGCCAAACAAAATTAAAATATTGAACTTTAGAACAACAAATTTCACCAAGAACTTTTACTCAAAGTTACTACTGGCCACTCTTTTAGGAATATAATTTTTTTTTTAAATGTTCGGTTGGAGAAGGAAACGAAGCGTTCTTTATAAGGGCGTGGAAACCTCTACCTAACAGATGCGTTTTAAAAATCTTGAAGGAAAGCCCAAAAGGAAAAGCCCAAAGAGAACAATATCTATTAGCGGTGGGATTGGCGAGTGTGCCAGTAAGAACGTTGGCCCTGAAGGGGTGGAGGGGGGTGGATTGTGAGATCCCATATTGATTAGAGAGAGGAACGAGTGCCAACGAGAACACTGGGTGTCACAATCGCACTCTTGCAATAACAGGATAGTGATTGTGCGGCACTTGTTCTAATCAAGCGAATAAGTCAGCTGTGAGAAAAGGTTTGCACGAAGAAATACATTTGAAAACGGTTTGAAGAATTGAAAAAAACATTATATGACTATAAGTACTTAAGAAATAAATCCATATAACTTGACTAGTCATATCTCTATAGTACATTTTGAGGCATTTTAGTTACATGGTTTTGGTGAACGGTCATACACTCCGTATTGACCCAATGTAAAATGGTACAGGTCTATCGAAGATGAAAGCATGTAAAAGGGATTTTGTGATAGGCATGCAACCATGGACAACATGTCTTGGACAAGCAAGACCGAAATATCTGTCATGAAGCCATAGGTAACATGCCTTGGACAAGCGTGACACTGGACAGGTTGGACTGTGAGATACCCAGCGAGGATACTGGAACCCGAAGGAGGTGAATGGTGAGATTTGACGTTGGTGGGAGAGAGGGAACAAGCATTCTTTATCAACTCAAATCAGACAGTAATTAAGAAGAAGATTAGCTCGTCATAATTGATACTATTTGAAGAACAAACAGAAATTGTGACCAACCTGAGTTTGCTTGATCTTGACAAGAAGCTCCCTTTGAACAGAGAAGGCCTCTTTCAAAATCTCAGTGACCGTAAGAACCCGACCCCCAATTTTCTCGGCGGCGCTATAAACCCTTGCAAAGTACTGTCCCATCATATCGTCAAAACCCAGAATCGAGGGGTCGGACACCGCATCCTCGCCGCTCTCCGGTGCACCACCGGGCCGGAATCCAGTGGACAAGGACTCGAGCCGAGCCACAGCCGACTCCAGTCGCTGAATCAGCTTCGCATCCATGGTTGGTTCGAACCCAGAACTTGTTTTCTCTTTGGGGAAGAAAAAGGCTCAGATCTGAGAGACAGACAGTGGTGGGTTTGGTCTGTCGGGGTTAAATTTCTTTTCTTTTGGGGAATATAATAACTTCAAAAGCAAAAAAAAGAATTGGGTTTTGGTTAGCGGCGGAGGTACGACTTCCGGCGAAGAGGTGGACACGTGGCGGATTTACAGGCAATTTTTGGGTGTAATTGATCGTGTGGGCTAGTGGAAACTGCCGTGAACTTCGCTTAATTAAGGCTTCATCATGTTTTTCTTTCTTACCTTAAATCATCAAATGGTCATGTAAGAGTCATATATGTTTTTTTTTTTTTTTTTTGGTCAACTTCAGCATGACTTAAATTTAGACGCGGAAAAGATGTCTGGTTTGAGGTTTTATTTTAATTATTTTGATTCAAATAATTAAATAATTTAATAATTCTTAAATTCGAACTCAATCAAATAATTGTGTTCTAATCCGTACAAAATTGTAAATGAATATTTAAGGTTCTATTCACAACTTTTGAATTTTTTTTTTTTCATTTTTCAAAAACTTTAATTAAGGTAAAATATTAAAATCTACAAATTAATAAAATTTCGATTTTTAAATGTATTTTTAGCGGGACATTTTATACGCTTAAAAAAATTTATTAGATCAAATTAATATAAAATGCAAATGAATATTCAAGGTTCCATGGTCTAGTGGTTAGGACATTGGACTCTGAATCCAGTAACCCGAGTTCAAATCTCGGTGGAACCTTTTTTTTTTCATTATTTATATTATCATTTTCATTTTGTAAAGTTACGCCTACAGCAAGCCTGAAAGCCATGCCTTCCACAAAACATAGAATCACCAATAATAATATTAATAAAAAACCCCATACATTTCTCAAAGAATGACAATTTTCCATGGCAGAGACCTGAGGGTGTCAGCCACCCTCTCCTCTCCGGCTACAGAACCAATAGGTTCGGGTTGGGTCAAGTTGGGTCGGGTAGTTATCAGGCTCTCTCAATTGGGATGCCTGCTGTGTTTGTTATTGACAAAGAATCGATATCAATGAATTTTCTTTAATGGTAGTGATACTCTACTCTCTCGCCTTGCTCATCCGGTGGCTCGGGGAATATCTCCTTCGACTGCATTCTCCGTGACACTTCACCACCGTTGTTCTGGCCACTTCCCTGTGAACCTGAACTTCCTGACTGTTTGAAGCTACCTCCCACTGCCCTTGACATTGTGGCAGCTGGTACGACCGTTATATCCGATAGGCTCTGTCGCCAGCTCCCGAACAAAGCTGCATTCCAGCTTCGTGAAGACGTCGCTCGCAGCCTACCTGAACTTTCTTGTCTCACTACCTTTAAAGGGTTTTCCAAGGCCTTTAGGATGTATCTCATCTGAGGTCGTCTCGAAGGCTTTGGGTTTAGACATGACTTTGCAACAACGGCCATAGCCCACACTTCCTCCAAGAAATCCTCGTCGACAATCAGGTTCGGATCGATGATTTTGGTCACTAATTCTTTGTCGTGGATGTTGATGTATGGGAATGTTTGATCATAAAATTCCTTCAATTGGGTGTCTGGGGTGCCACTGATGCCATCCTTGCCTGTCACTAGCTCTAATAACACCTTCCCAAAGCAGTAAACATCATAGGAACATACTGCTGTCTGAGACCCTACAAATTTCAATTCAAGAAAACAATCTTCGCTTAAACGTGGTTTCCACTAACTTCAGATTAAAACATTCATACTATTGTCCTTTTTGGACTTTTCCTTCATGGCTTCCCTCAAGGTTTTAAAACGCGTCTGTTAGGGAGAGGTTTTCACACCCTTGTAAAGAACGTTTTGTTCCCTCCTCTAACCGATGAGGGATCTCACAATCCACCCCCCTTTGAGGGCCCAGCGAGGACGCTGACACACCGCCCAGTGACTGACTCTGATACCATTTGTAACAATCCAAGTCCACCGCTAGCAAATATTGTCCTCTTTGGGCTTTTCCTTCGGACTTCCCCTCAAGGTTTTAAAACGTGTCTGTTAGGGAGAGGTTTCTACAACCTTATAAACATGCATACAGCCAAGACAAAAGGAAATCTTTGATCTCAAAAGGAAGACAAAATGTAAATTTGAACATACCAGAAGAACCTTGCTCGGACGACCTGCACGTTTCAAAGAGAAAATGATCATTACAGCCTCATGTGTAAAGAAAATATATGATAGAAATAACCAATATTTATGAGCTAGAATGAGTACTTACTGTGGCACCATGTTTTAATCATAGAGAATCATCATTGTAATGAAGAGAAAGATAAACTGAACCATTGATATTTCAATTGTAATGAAGAGGTGAGTACTTACTGTGGCAACCGAAGCAACCTGGAAATTCGGTTCTGGTGGCTGTTCGAGTCCCCATCTTCAGCACAAACTTCACTCAAGCTCCCAAGTCGGACTTCAAATTTATCATCGAGAAGTATACTGCTAGCTTGAACATCTCTTCAATGACCAAAAGAAAAAATGTTGATAACTTAACAACGTATACAATCACATAACAGAGCTCATAACAGCCTAAGTCCACCGCTAGCAGATATTATACTCTTTGGACTAGACAATCACACAACATAGCTCATAATAGCCCAAGCCCACCGCTATTAGATATTGTCCTATTTGCTTTCAGGTTTTCCCTCGAGGCTTTTAAAACATGTATAATAGAGAGAAGTTTCGTTCTCCTCCCTAACCAATGTAAATCTCACATCCACCCCACTTCGAGGCCCAACGTCCTTGTAGGCACACCGCCTCATGTCCACCCCAGTTTTCACATCCTTATAAAGAATGCTTCATTCTCCTTCCCAACTGATGTGGGGTCTCACAACCCACCCCACTTTCCAGCCCAGCGTCCTTATTGGCAGACCGTCTGTCCACCCACAGTTTTCACACCTTTATAAAGAATGTTTCATTCTCCTCCCCAACCGATGTGAGATCTTACAATACACCCCCCTTTGGGGCCAGCGTTCTTGTTGGCACACCGCCTTGTGTCCACCCCCCTTCAGAGCTCAATCTCCTCGCAGTCACATCACCCAATGTCTGTCTCTGATACCATGTCTAACAGCCCAAGCCCACCGCTAGCATATATTATCCTCTTTGGGCTTTTCATCTCAGGTTTCCCCTCAAGGTTATTAAAACACGTTTTCTAGGGAGAGGTTTTCATACCCTTATAAGAATGCTTCGTTCCCCTCCCCAACCAATATGGGATCTCACAGAGCTTGACTTTTGTTTACTACGAAATTTGGTCAACTGACTCACTCGCGATAGGAATATCGAAAACAAGATTAGAAGTTCTATCAAAATGAAAGGATAACTACATTATTAGCCCAATCACCCATACATGGATCTTAATCGAAGGAGACACCAAACGACAATAAGCGAACTCGAGCAATTGATAATATACACATCAACAAAACTCGAAAGTAAATAGACAATAACTAAAGGTTCTAAGTACCTGTGCACGAGTGGCGGAGAACATTCATGATGCATATAAGCAAGACCCTCAGCAGCTCCTGATGCAATTTTAAGTCTTGTTATCCAATCCAAAGACTGTACGTTTTCATCATCAACATTACTTTTCCTCACCAAGGAACTCGCCAAGTCTCCATTTGGCATATATTTATAAACCAAGAACTTCTCATGCTCATTATCTAGGCAATGTCCTAAAAGGGGAACCAATCTCGTATGCGACGCCTTACTAAAAAAATCCAATTCCACTCGGTACGTTTCCTTTTTAACCGTTCGCAAGTCGATCTTCTTGATAACGACATTGGCCCCATTGTCCAAGACACCACGGAATAGATCCCCAGAGTGACCAAGTTTGATTAAGTTCTCATCACTAAAGCCACCAGTAGCCTGAAGAAGCTGTTTATCTGTAAAAACGTCGCCTAAACTCGAAAAGTTAATTGATTGGTCAGGAGGGAGTTCACTGCTTCGAGTAGGTATCGGTCCTACACTAACACCCCTTTGATTCCCCGACGCTCTCTTACCGCCAATATATAGAAACAGCAGCATTGCAAGCAACACCATAAGGACAATAAACCCGACCCCTCCTAATACGCTGGCCAATATGATTACCCTTTTATTGATCTTATTCTTGCCAGACTTTTCGGGTAGAGGAGGTTGTGCAGAGCTTGGTTTGCCAAAATTATCAAAATCAAGACCTTTTGCAGTATAAAATGAGGAGCAGTCTTCCAATGTCCTCTGACTGGAAACATTTTGAAGACAATTAGTCTCAAGAGATGCATTCATTGACACAAAGTTTGGAACTCTGCCTTCAAAATAATTTCCAGATAGATCAATGACTCTAAACCTTCCTAGAACAGGCACGAGGCTACCGTAAAACATGTTTCGAGAAATATTCAATGTTCCATCAGTCGAATTCGAATTCAAGCTTGAATTAGGAAGCATACCAGTGAAATTATTCCCAGAGATATCAAGAAACCGCAGCCCAGGCGTCAAGAACAACACATCAGGGGCTGCACCAGTAAAACGATTGTCATTGATAGCCAATGCCTGCAAGTGGGTGAGCGAAGAAAACAGAGCATCTGGCAGTGATCCACCGAGTAAATTGTTTCTTAGTACCATTCTCTGCAGGCGGCTCATGCCTTTTAGATCTGGCGGCAGCGGCCCGGAGAATTTGTTGAAACTGATATCAAGATCCACCAGGACACCCAGGTCGCCGAGTGAAGCAGGCAATGAAGAACTGAGATTATTGCTCGAAAGGTTCAATTTTTGCAGCTGCCTGAGCGACCCAATGAGCGGAGGGACTGACCCATCTAAACGATTTGAAGAAAGGTCAAGAAATTTGAGGTTTCCAAGGGATGATACTGATAAAGGGATGGAACCAGTGAGCTCATTACGGGAAAGATCAAGCACAGAAAGTCGAATAAGTTGGCCAAAACTTGCAGGAATCGACCCATTTAGCTTGTTATTGGAGAGATACAGAGTGGTTAGATTCGTTAAATTTCCAAAACTCAATGGAATAGGACCAAGGATAGAACAAGAACGAAGATCAAGAACTTGCAGAGACTTGAGCGATGAACCAAACCAGTCAGGAATGGGTCCCGGAAGAAAGAACCTAGAAGCATTAAAAGACTGGAGAAGCGGTAAATTAGCTAAAGCATCAACAACAAATCGTGGGTTTTGTCTACCAAGCCGAGTTCTTCGAAACCCAGAAACGTTGATCCCAATAACTCGACCATTTCGACATTCAACGCCGTTCCAAATAGAGCAAG